TAATTGTATAAATTGCCATATTTAAATTAGACAAGCCTGGGATTGCGCGGTAGTATTTTGCATGTTATTTTTATTACCGTTGTATTGTTATGCATGTTTTTAATACAGTTGCATGAGCTGTTGTGTTTTTGAATGTCATCTGACTCAGTTAAGGTTAGAACCTTAGGCTGCATGAATTGTTGTGTTTTTTACTGCTAATCGTTTCTGATTATGCACTCGTTTGATCACCTCATATGTTAGGAGAAAGGTTCTAAAATCAATCTAAATTGCCTGACAAATGTTTTCATAAAATGAACAGGAAAAAAAGGTACCGAAAGGTCATTAGTTATCTAACTAGTGTAACCAAGTCCCTGAACTCGGTTAATCTCTGGTTCGCAGGAATAGGGTGATTCTCCCATCACCCTATTTGGGTTTCTAATCGGCCCACCCCAAATCGATTAGTGGCGACTCCTTGATATAAATCACTTACATGTTAAAAAACTTAGGGAAAAAACCACCAAAAACCCCAAACTTTGCCATCTGTGACACATTTACCCCAATGTATTTAGTCCATGGGCATTTTCGTCTTTTTTGCTTTTTCTTTTTTTTTTTCTTTTTTTTTTCCTTTCCGGCGAGGGCTGCCCATCGCCGGATCCGGCGAGGGGCCCTCGCCGGCGTCAGCGAGGCGGCCCTCGCCCAGTCCGGCGAGGCGGCCCTCGCCGCGTCAGCGAGGTTCGCCTCGCACAGCGAGCGAGGCGGCCCTCGCCCGAGCTCGAGCGAGAGTCGACCCTCGCCGGCGTCGGGCGAGGGTCGACCTCGCTCGAGCCGGGCGAGGCCGCCTCGCTCGTCCCAGCGAGGCGACCCTCGCCGCGGCGGGCGAGGTCCGTCCGCCCTCGCCCGGGCGAGCAAGGGCGGCCCTCACCCGACTCGAGCGAGGTCGACCCTCGCCGCGTCCGAGCGAGGCGGCCCTCGCCCGGCGCCGGCGAGGCGGCCCTCGCCGAGGTCGGCGAGGGCGACCCTCGCTCGACGCCGGCGAGGCGACCCTCGCCCGATGCTCGGCGAGGTCGACCTCGCCAAATCGGGCGAGGGCCGCCCTCGCTCGCCCGGCGAGGGAAGACCTCGCCCGACGCCGGAGAGGGTCGCCCTCGCCCGGGCGAGCGAGGGCGGCCTCGCCGGCTCAGCGAGGTCGACCTCGCCGACGCCGGCAAGGGTCGACCTCGCCCGAGTCGGGCGAGGGCCGCCCTCGCTCGCCCAGGCGAGGGCGAACCTCGCCCGACGCCGGCGAGGGGGGGCCTCGCCGGAAAGGAAAAAAAAAGAAAAAAAAAAAGAAAAAGCAAAAAAGACGAAAATGCCCATGGACTAAATACATTGGGGTAAATGTGTCACAAAAAGCAAAGTTCGGGGTTTTTGGTGTCACAAAAAAAAGTTCGGGGTAAATGTGTCACAGATGGCAAAGTTTGTGATTTTTGGTGGTTTTTTCCCAAAAACTTAAACCCTAAGTTGCGATATGGTATGGGCTTGGGAGAGCCCGAGCCTAAACCTAGACTTAGCACGTACCAAGCGAGCCCCCCTTTTTTGCATGTTCGATAAAAAAGTGCTCGGGAGTTCGGTCACGACAATGAGTTTTGAGGAATGACAAAACAATCTATTACTGACCAGAATTACACTTAAGTTATTTGATACAGGTAAATGCTGAGTCATAAGACTTAGTCGATAAAAGGACCTTGTCATCAGACTCAAAATTACTCGTCAGATTCAATGAGTGTTATTTTTGGCATGTTTATGCAGAATAATCAAATTGATATTTTAAGATATTCTAATTGGTAATCACAAGATCGTTCCTCAAATACGAAGAACTACACTTATAGAAACCTTGATTTGATTGTATGGGCGATCAAATCACTCGGAGATAATGGTCTTATTCTAACGGCTATGCATCCTATTTTGGGAAGAATCTCTAACGGGTTGTTTTAGAGATCAATACTCTGAAAACTGTCCAATGGATAGATTGGAAATAGAGGAGTATAAAAGGAGTGCAAACGTCGTACAAGAAAGAAGAGAACTAGAATCGAGAATTCCAAAGTTTGAATAGAGTTTCGATCTTACACACTTGTGATTACTGTTTTTCACGTTGTGTTTTTTAGAAAGAAAATTACTTGAGTGAAGAGTGTACGTGATAGTGTTATCTATTATCTGAGAAGCACAGCACTTGTAATCTTCTAGTGATTCAATAGTGAAATACAGCCAATAGGCTACCAGCGTGGAGAGTGGACGTAGGCTCAATAAAGCCGAACCACTATAAAGATCTGTGTGCAGTATTCTCTATTCCTAAACTTTTATTTATTATTGCTGACATTATACTGTATGCATATCTGTCAAACAAGTTCGTCAGAACATCGTCTTAGTCATCAGATGCAATCATCTGACAACAATTTATATACAAGTTTGTTATACGAATACATCTGATATTAATCATATGAGTTGTTGACCTAGACTATATTCATTCCGCACGTTTAAATCATACAATTTTGGTAAAATCACCTATTCACCCCCTCTAGGTGATAGCATTAGCCCTAACAAATACATTTAAGGAAGGAAAGGTTACTCTCTCGAAGGAAAAACAAGCTCATGTCTATAGTTGAAGACCCTTTTAAGTACTCGAAAGAATTGGAGACAATAATTTCAAGGTTGATCTCTCGGGAGAAGGGGAAATTGTCAAATTAGTCTTAAACTTATTGTACGGATGTCAATTCAATCATAAATTTTTCAGTTTTGCCAATTTAGTTCTAAAACTTTTCCAAAATTATAATGCGGTCCTTCTGACCAATTTTCAACTAAAATCATTGACATAGCAGTGTGTCACATCAATGATTTCCAAGGAAAAGAGGACTACATTGAAATTTTGGGCAAAGGTTTAAGACTAAATTGGTAAAATTAAAAAATTTGAGACTGAATTGACATTCGTTCAATAAGTTTAAAATTGCTTGGAGAATTTTCCCCCGGGGAGAATATGGCATTTCGATTACTTTCAATGTTGGAGATCTTTCTCGTTATCTTGAAAATGAAGTCCTATCATATTTGAGGTTGAATCTCCAACAACCTAGGTGGATGGTGCAAGAGCATTAGAGCTTGGGAATTATGTTGATCATAACACAAGCTCAACTCAAATCCCATCAATTAATCAAGCCCAATTGTTAATGGTGCAAGGAAAGACATATTTCAGCCATAACATGATTTAATTGGTATGTCCAAGATGAAGATTCTTGAATGTCAAGAATAAATGTAGATTGAATGTGCTGTTGGTGGTTGAATTGCAAGGCTAAAAAGTCAATTTGAGTTCTCATGTGTTTTAAATGCATTTTCAAGTTCTTATATCTTTAGGCTACGTTTGGTTATCCAGATTTCTAATCAGGATAAGATTGGATAGGATAGGATATGAAATCTAAGGGATTTGCTATATCTTATTTACTGTTTGGTGAATTGCAGCAATAAAGTAAGATATTTTCACATATTTTTATGTCCATTATTTGCTATGAACATTATATCAGTGTAAATGAACCTAAAATTACACAAATGGAGATAATAAAAATTTCTCACGAAATTCATACCTATTTCATTTTTATTTATTATTTATTAATTTACCCTCTTTTTTAATTATTTTCTTTTTTATTTCTTCCCCTTCCATCATTCTCTAATAAATTTTATTAAATAGTGAACTATACAAATATGCCTAAAATATGTAATAAATATAAATACTAAATGTGTATATATATATATGAAATTTATATCATCAGATAGAAAGAAATTTGAATATATAAATAAAAATAAGAATAAATAAAAATGATTTTTTTGTTATTTTTTTGTTATTTTGAATTTTTATATTAAAATTCAAGTATTATTTATATTCAAATATCATTTTAATTTTATTAATTTAACAAGTTTGTTATTTGAGAATAATAACTTTTATATTATGGATATTAGAAATCATATCCACGTTTATCCCACCTCCCCCTTGGGATAATTTTATCCGAGTTATATCCCTCATATATCCGACTTTATCCTATCTCGAGCAAGCACCAGACACGGGATAGGATAAAATTTATACTATCCCGAATTTTATAAATTTTATCTTGACTACCAAACGTAAGCTTAGTGTGTTTTATATTCCCATGTTTATAATATTTGGCTAGTTTCCATGTCTTTAATGTTTGGCTGGTTCCTATATCCTAACTCCTTCACAAACAGAGGTGAGTTCTCAAATGTATGAATTCGGATTTGAGTTTGATTGTACACGAGATTTCCTCTTCAAATGAGAGAATTTCTATAATATTTGGTTCTTTATCGAATTCACTTTGGTCACGAACCTTAAGTTGTTTATCTATGACTGGCAAATTATCTTTTTATGCCTTGTTGGTGAACTCTATCTATCCCAATCTTACTTCGTCCAAAACACATTCCATCAGACACTTCTAGCAAACAATTTTCCATGCACTTATCCGTCATACATGTTTAGCATCCTCTAATTCTCGCCACGCATTAGATAATCAAGTCTAATAGTAGGTTTAAAACAATGAAAAATCTATCTTGACTCTATTCTTAGTAAATGGGATTCAAGGTTCAACCAACTAATAGAGTAGGTATATCCCAAATGGAGTGACTTTCAATTTCAATTTTTCATATTATTTTTTTAATAAATTTTTCAAAACTAACAGTTTGACTCTCAATAACCTGAAACATTTGAAATCTTCTAGGCTATTCAAATAATTGAAAAGATATAACCTTTTCCTGATTTGTATGAAACTTAAATAGTACTTTTATTTTTAAATATTAGAGGTAAAGTCGTCACTAAATATTTGCCTACATTTCAGGTTGCATTGGTCTAGAAATTGAGTAAATATTCGCCCGTTGATCCTAAAAAGAACAAGAGGAGTAACCTAACAAATTGAGTAACCTATCATAGACTATCGGTTGAAAAAAAAGTGAAATAGCAAATCAATAATTTCGATCAACAAACTAAAAAATGGTTAGCTCAACAGTGTAAGTTTGGGTAGGGCAAGAATTTAGAAAAGAAGACCATATGTGTACAACTACTAAATTAACTTGCTAGCACGCTGACAACGGTCCGCACAATTAGCCTCATATAGTTTATGTGCATATCATGCGTATGAATACGTTTGAATGTACAATACGAACAGGTATACTTAATCTCCCGAACTTATATCATCAAGATCGTCGTCTAAAGACAAAAACATCTCGTCCATGGACGAGAGTTCAGTCTCGCTTTTATCATCTCCTCCCGAGCAAAAGCTTTGTCCATGGCTTGTCTTGCATTCGTGAACTCGAGACAGAACCGGCGAACCATGTTCCTGTCACGTGTACAACACATATGACATTACATTCTAAACTTCCCGAGTAAGCATTCAAGAGTTTAATCAATGTCAAATCTCATTTGAACGTGTGAAACACTGTCAACATGCCTATCAACATGCCTATAAACCAGATATATTTTACTGGTGATCACTGCAATTTGATGGATTCTGCAAATAGGTCATTGAACTTTGATTTTGGTTGTAAGATATGCAACAAGTTTTCGTTTCTTTTTATAATTGTTGCATTTCGACTGGAATCCGACTAAATTTCTAGCAAAGTGTCAACATGGCAACCCGTGTAGAGCTGACATCTATAGCCCAAGTGGATGCCACCTTTGAAATTTTCTTATATCTTGGGCTGAGGTGGTATCTACTTGGACAACATGCCCTGTCGCCTCCATATCAGCACTTTGCTGGAGAAATAAGTCCGTGTTTTCAGTCAAATTGCCTTAATTTCAAAAGGAAAATCCGAAAGCTTAGCACAGAAAATGACCGAAATCAAAATTCGGCGACGTGATTGAAAAATGTGTTGTTAACGAAACTCTTGTAGACATGGTGTACGACGCACAAAGTCTCGTGAAGTTGCTCGAACATAGATTAACTGACAATCTAACTTCTAAAATTTCTGTGGAATATTTGCACTCACTTGTCTTGGATTGGTCAATTGATTGAAGGACATGAGATGATACTCCTGCATCACCCAATTTGTTTCTTGACCTGTTGGAGCCTCTCCAATGTGGAAAGTCAGAGATTTCTTGATTCCTATAACTTCTCCAGCTTCACTAAACACTGGCTCTTCCATGTCCAGATCTTTCCAATACCCATTTTCCGTAATTCGATTGTTCATCATTCTACTGAAATAGAAGTATTGGGTTCCATTCCACAGCGCCTTTCCTGTGCATTCAAAAGCTAATTTCAGCTGTGGAAGTGGAACTGATAAAAAAAAATTCTACAGCAAATCAAATATGATGATTTACCTGGTACTTTATTAACACCGCAAAAATTTGCTAAGTTACTTTTGATTGTCATGTGACTTGAAGAAAATCATTTACTCTAACAAGTCTCGTCTTCAAGATCTTGGCAGCTCATCATAAGATATATTAGGGCAATCAGAACTCATTTTTCTATACCTTTTTATCCAAAATTTCTTCTAGCTAGGGCACTGCTTCATACTAAGCAACTATATATATTGTACTAAAGCAAAAGTTGCTCTCTTTCGCTTACCATGGAGGTCCCAAGGATCATGGTGGTGAGACTTGAGATCAGGGACTAAGTGATCATAGAGTGGAGACACAGAGGCCGGCTGCTTCTTAGGATGCAGAAAGTGAAGGACGAGTTCTTCGTCCGTCGGTGAGAACCGAAACCCAGGCGGTAGCTTCAGCATCTTGCGATCATCTTCTTCTTCCTTCTCCTTCGTATCTCTCATGATCACAAGCCAAAACCAGCAAAATTGAGCAACTGCTGATTATCCTATGCATAAACACACGTTCTTGATGCTCTTTCCTTTCTTTACCAATTTCTATGATTGATATCCACACACGTCTATATATAAACACACAGAGAGAGAGAGAGAGAGAGAGAGAGAGAGAGAGAGAGAGAGAGAGAGAGAGAGAGAGAGAGAGAGAGAGAGAGAGAGAGGGCGGCGGTATATGGAGGACTATGATATGTTAAGTGGAAAGTCCTAATAGTGCCTGGTCTTTTAAAGGTAACAAGAGGAGAGAGATGGATGATTTAGGCTGATCTCTTTTGTTGCAAGTAACTTTTTCCTTCTCTTATAATCCAGTAACCTAAATGCAATATTCTTTTTTATTTTCTGTTTATGGTCATTCTACAAAGTTGAAGTGAATCATCCAATGATACTCATTTGACTGTGTATCTAATAATTTAAGCATTTGAGTTGCAGCCTAAGGTTTTAAATTTGGCACTTCAATGTATAGAATGGATCTTATGTAATGGCTGTATTATTTACGTGGTGCATCACTCTTTAATAGAGTGATTGAGAACTACAAGAATTAAAAAATAAATCCAATTTTTATCTTTCGATTCTTTTTATTGTGAATGGTGACTCAGAAAAAATGGTGACTTTGTTGTCTTCTAAATATGATGGATAAGATACTTTCTTGATTTCCACGGCCGCAGTATAGACGCGAGATGATCAAACACAGTGTTGTGTGTTCATGTTACAAGATATTTGAGAGATTATAAGCTTGACTCATTGGGTTTTTCATTCAAAACTAGGATTTAATCTACACTAGAAGTTTGGTCAGGTGATAGATTCATCGAATATGTTGCAAAGACCTTTTCCCTATTCACGCCCCTTATGCTCAAGACCCGTCTAAGGGACCGCAGAACATATTTGACAACTGGAGTTTAGTTTTGGGTAAGCCTACTTGGTGAGATTGGACTCAATCTACAGGATCTACTGATCTACGATACATGGCGAATCTACTGCTGTCGAATTCATCGAAATCAAGTTCTCACTTGAGTCATTAAATGGGTTGGTTTGAAGGTTGGAACCCAAACCTAAGGACATGTAGTTTTCAGTTTGGAAAATCCGGAATCAATCAAGAACCAAACTGAGTAATTCAGGAGCTTGGATTGGACCGATCAGGGTCTAATGTATCATTATCAGGTAGAACCAAATCAGAGGCAGACCCCCAACTTGAGTGCGACGGAAAATCCAATTTGAGAGTTTGGTTTCGTTACGTTTGAGGTTTGTGACGAGGTTTTTGGCACCAATGGAGAAAAAACATTCGCACCAACAAAAGAAAATGCGCTAAAAGACAGACGCGCAGCAGCAGCTCTTGATGATGATGATGTGCAACTAAACTTCAGGTTTCGTCTAAGTCTCTAGTTTGAAGATTAGTTTGGCAGTTTGCGATGATATTGAAATAGGATAAGGAGCTGAAAGTAATCAGCAACTTTTGATGACCGAGAGCGGTTGCATGACATTCGAACTAATCTTTTTGGTTCATTATCTTATTCTTATTTTTCCAAAGTGGAACTGCTCCTTGAGACGAGTTAGATCATATACAGGACGAGAAAAAATTCCTTAAATTCAAATGAATCCTTTCATCATCATCATCACGGATTGACATACACCTGAAATAGCTACTATTATAAAGCTCATGTACTATCTCCCAAAAGGCAAGTCCCCCCAAGGGAGGGAGTCAAGCCGCTGATAGGAAATACTTGATGAAATTGGCATCGAAATTCCTTGTTAATGTAGATGCACTTCACTAAAGATATTTTGATTAGGTCTTGCTAAGAATTGGCATCGAAATCCTTAAAGGGTTGATGAAACCTGCTCTATGGACCAGGTATAACACAAATTTAAAGGCTCAAATAGGTGGCACGAACATGAAACTATTGGTACTTGGCGAGGCATTCAGAGAATTGAGCTTATAGGCCATCAACAATTGTCCAATTCCACTTGTTCATGACCGAATATCTGTGTAACCTGCCATTAATATCAATTGCTTGTCTCTAATTCTCAGTGTACCTCAAGGTCAGTTATTTGCCATCAATATTCTCGGGTGATCCAAGAATTTCTTCTTTGCAAGAAGTTAAATAAAATCAAAGTCCAATCAAGTAATATTACTTAACTCTCGGCCAAACAAAAGTACACAATCAACTAGGGTTTTTTTCTTGGCAATCAAGCCATCAACACAGAGATAAAACATATGTAACGAGTCCAATTTTGTAGTAATTGAACTACAGATGCTCTACTCATGAAACCCAGAAACACTTTCAAGGGTTTTTCCGAGGAACCATGAAGACATCTTCTAGTGATAGCTTAAAGTCATCATGACAAGTTTCATGCACGCATGCTTACGAGTCTTTAACTTTCTGTAAAACTCCAGAACCGGGACGAGACGGGACACCCTAGCGAGTGCCAGGTGGAGTGTGCTCTCGTTGTGGATGTGATGTCTCCATTTATACGTTTGACCTTGCTTCAATCATCTCTTTTTCCTACGTGTCCATCTCTGATGCACACAACTGCATCATATTTCCTTGACCTGCCCGAACTCCGTGTCTTCTCTTTTTTCAGACGCATCATTTCAAAAGGTCTCACCAACTAAAGCAAGCAACAGTTCCGGGTCGAAGTGACCTCTAGCTGCGATCACTGTCCATGTGTCCTTTTAGTTTGAATTCGACGATGATAATGCCACTTTTTCTTAGGGGGAAAACAAACGATGTTGTAATAATGGTAGCATGTGGAAGGGATTGATGCGATGAGGGTGTTGGAAAAAGGACAGCGCAGCATATGATGAGAGATTTAAATTGTTCGATGGGGACAAATAGCTGCTTGAAGGACCCCTAAAAAGAAAGGGTTTTGATGCCCTTCGCAAAAGTTCTGTAGTTGAAAGTGATATGTTCGACGTTCTGGTGGACGAGAGACAGTTGGATTGCGTAATCATGACGATGCAGATCAAGAACTGAGCGCAATCATAGAAACTAACACTATCTGAGCTCGAAAAGAACACTGGTTTGATTCAAAATAATAACCAGACACCAGCTCATGCATGAGTTTCTTTCATTTGAATCCTACTTGAGTTCATTATCCACTATTCTATGCTCGAGTTACCAGACAAATGAGTGATTCAATATTTGAATGGCGTGACAGGTTGATGTTACAATGATTTTAGACAAAGAAATTGTGGATGAGTTAGTGAGATATTGGTGAATCTGAGATTTGTCCATTTAAGTAGAATTCTGCATCAACAAAAGAAAAAAAGGATCCTTGCAAAAAAAGATTATATGCACTTTATTGGTCAATGAAGCCCATCATCCGCTCAAATTTTATTCAAATTGACATATAGAGAAGGCATGCATGTTTATAACTTGATTTATATACTAGTTAAAAAAAACTTTATTATCCACAAGAACTTAAAAGGAAACACTTATCTCATGTACAAAAGTATAATATTTGTGACATGACCCATGTAAATTGAGCACGATAGTAACTGATGGTACCAAAGCAGTACCCTTCTTGTAGGTATGTGATTCGTGAACGGACTAGACAGAGTGAGGTAAGAGGGCTCGGACAAGATATGCCTCTTGGATCCTTCTAGGATGGCAGATGGGACATGAATGAAGCAAACAACACATCAAATAGGGGGAGAGTACTCCTTTTGGAAGCTTGGCCCATGTGGACCGAGCCGAATCGTTACCAATCGTACCAAAGCATGACCCTTCCAATAGGGGTGCGACTCATGGACGGACTAAACAGAGTGACCACAAAGATGAGAGAGTTCAGACAAGATATGCTTCCTGGCATTCTTATAGGATAGGAGAAGGGATATGAATGGATCAGGCAACACATAGAATAGGAAGGGTATCGTTAGGCGATACGAGCCAATACTAACATGGAACCTCACTTTTTAAGTGAGGAAGTTTGTGATGTCTCAAGTCCCACATGAGATGAGAGAGGCCCTATCGAATAAATCACAAGTAAGCACGTACCTCTAAATGGTCACCATCCAAAACCGAGCCGTTGTATATTGTTTGTTGATGGCACATAATTCTTTTGGTCATGCATTATTTCATCTCTACAGTTAAAATCTGCACGTTTTAGACTGCCATTTCCACATCAAGTACAGGAATGAGAGCTAATTGTAACGTCGTTCTTTAAAAGTCGAGATCTTAAGGAATCTGCAAGCTCAATTTGACATTCACGCTATATTTTCCAATCTCACACCTGTTTCTGATAGACTCTTTCAAAACCACACTCCACGAGAGAGAAAAGTCCTTTTCGAGACCCGAAATTTGAGCGACAACATCTGTACCATCAGTGGTAGGCCACTTGGCCAGGCAGGATGGTTGATATCCCACGTCCATCAGCATTCGACTTCACGCAAGGACTCGATGGAAGCTATAGAATGATGCAAATAGTAGCTACCTGAGAATCATCTGCATTATATGTTTAATTAAGCAAAACTAAGGCTCTCTCCGTTTGTTTCGCGATAAAATGGATGGTTTGAAAATTATTTTTCTAAAAATAATCGATTGTACCACTTGACATAATTACTCAATGAAAAATATTTTCTTATCGACAATAATATATATCTAAATATTTTCGTGAATGATGAAAATATTTTTCGTTCGTTCATTTTTATAAGTGATATGAGCGATCATTTTTAGGAAAACTGTTTTCCAAAATGCGGATTCTTCGCAAAACAAACGGATGTTTCGCAAAAAATGGATCATATGGAAAATATTTTTTTAAAAATAACCGATTGTATTGTTTGAAATAATTAGTCGATGAAAAAAAATTATCGACAATATGTCCACTTATTTTTGTGGCGACGAAATTTTATTTTTCGTTCGTTCATTTTTGTAAGTGATATGAGCAATTATTTTTAGAAAAAAAAATTCAAATCATTTATTCCCCGTGAAACTAACGGCCCCTAAATCTCTAATATTTTCTTATTGGTCTATCAAAGCTCGCTATCTACTTATTCGCACGCAATAGGGGATGTAGCGTGGGGATTAAGATTGAACACTCTTCGCACCTAGATAATTTGACCATAGAAGTACTGATTTTTTTTTGCAAGTGTTGATAAGTATCAGAAAGATGTTACTGAAATAAAATAATCCGTGACTTCTTT